CACCCAGCAGCTAATACTAATTAATAGTCTCACTGAGACTGCTTCTTTTCCTTTATTTTCCTGTCCATTCATGATGAAATAACTAATTTATCACTGTACACTGTACCATCAGGGTCCCTTTACCTTACTCCCTAGGCTAATCAGTACTGAATGAGTGTCTGCTGTACAGTCATGTGCTATTCAATGTACATTCATACCACAAGGATATTTGCTCACCTGTGTTCATAGCAGCATTATTTGTAATAGCCAGAACATGGAAGCAACCTAGCCATAAATAAAGGACACTGTGCCTATAATTTGTGATCCTAGAGACGTGTGCCATTTGTATAACAACGTTCAGCAGAAGCTCTCAGAAAAAAAGCTGGCTCAGAAATTCAGTGGATCGATAACTTATGTATTGCAGAAGAATGACTTTTATTGAAAAAGCTTTAAAAGTTTTATATCCAGATAAAAGAGCACAATAAATCAAAATAACTTATACCTTCAAAAATATAAAAAAGAGTGTGGCAGCTAGTATATCAACCATACTGCAGAGCAGACCATGAGCCGGGGATTTATCAGTCACAATGAGGTTGTCAGAAAGAGAGGGAGAAAGTCAGGTGAGTAGGGAGGAGAGAAAACTGGGAATAGTTAGGGTTGGGGTCGATGTAATCAAAACACATTGTATGAATTTCACCAAGAATCAATAACAGAAATTTGAAAAAAAAATAAGTTTGTTACTTTTTCAACATTTTAGCCAGTAGAGACACCTACTGCTAAGACTGAGAACCAGAGTTTAATCTTTGGAACCCAAACTGGGAGAAAGGGAACCTGACACAAAGCTTGTCTTCTCATTTCCACACATGTACCATGCAATATGCACACACATCTACATACACAATCCCACAAACAAAGTAGCTTCCACACATGTAACACGCCATATGCCCACCCACTTACATACACAATCCTACAATCAAAGGCAATGAATTTGTTTAGAAAAAAAAAGGACTCTTAATTAGGATAGCCACTTGCCATTGACATTCCTCTAAAGTATGGTCTACTGGTCCATTGTCAGCATCCTTGTAAGACTACAAGTTGTCCTAAAAGCCTCAACAAATGGAGAAAAACCACAAGGTGGTGGACCTTGAATTTATCAATAACCCACTAGTCTTGCTACATCCTACAATTGTAAATCATGTGGACTTTTTCTGGGAGACTCAGAAGCTTCAAGAGGCTTGAAAGTTCAGAACTTTGACAATATCTTGGTCTGTGCTTTCTGAGGTAGTATTACATTTTGAAATATCTTCTAAATATTATAGAATGGATTGTCCTGAAAACTGATTCCCTAAGACCTTTTACTAACGTGCTAGACCAAGGGTAAATGCTGTCCCTGACGCTTTGAAGAAGGAATGTCCAAGCATTCTGCTGGTAAAGTCCAGGAATTGAGCCTTCCTATTCAACATTCAACAGAGCCAAGATCAGGGCACATAGGGATGCATAAAGAGCTTCTTTTAGATCAACACTGTACACCATTTAGTAGATTCGTGGCCCTGGGATGAAACAGTACAGGTATTAGCCATCAGAGGAGGTAGCACAAAAAAATAAAAAAGAGGAAGACTTCTTACCAAGTCTGTGGAAGAAATATTTAATAGAGTTGATCACATATTTCCAAATGCAAACTTTTATACTAAGGAAGGAACTACCCCACATCCTTTCTCCAGATTCCAAATTATGAGCTTTCTTCTCCCTTTAGCCTTAGAATAGATAAGGCACAACATGGGCACAGACAGCCTTCTGGATACTTGAAATGCCCCTCTATACACATTTAAAATAATCTTCCTTTCCAAGCTTTTCTTATCCTGAGCAAACATGGCTAATATGAAGGAAATATCCACATCCAGATCTCTGTTTTTCTTTTAAAAAATAAATTAGTATAGTTATTTTAAAAAACTGTACAAGTCCTTACAGAATCAAAATACAGGAGAATGTCTCTTCTGTGTATTCTTGAAAACTAACCAGGGAATGGAAACACACCAAAAGATCTTAACGTGATCTTGATTATGCGTGTCTTATCTTCTCAGTCAAGTCTAGTTCTGAACATTGTGTTGGCCTTTGGGTCAGAAACTTGGTTAGAAGTAAGATCAACAGCTGATCACAGATAAGGGAACATCCACTCATCTATGACAATTTGGGACAATTTGGGCCTCATTTCCTAGAAAAATGGAACCCTGGTTAATACAGTTGCTTTAGAAATCTGTTTGCTAGTTCTTCCAAAAGGGCAACGTGCTACTACTATGTAAACCATTCATTTTCCTCCTAGACCATCAGATCTTTTTTCATTTATGCAAAGGTCCTAATGTTAAGTTGTAGTGATTGATTTTTCTGTAGTTTTTTTCTCAAAATTCATTTATACTGTAACAAAACTTGAACTTTGATTATTAAATTTTTTCCCAGTAAGAGAATTTTTAAAGACAATAAAGTATCAGGTTTTCTACTTAAATTATATTTTATTACTAGAATGTCATATTTAAAATACCATTAAAATTCTTCTGCCTTTTCTTCAATTGTTTTACTTAGGGTTTCTAGAGCTTTGGAGAAACACTGTGACCATGGCAATTCTTACAAAGGAAAACATTTATTTTGGACTAGTTTACAGAATTTCAGTTTAGTTTAGAAGTTCAGAAATTGAGTCTGTTTCCTTCATGGATGGAGCATAGCAGCGTGCAGGCAGACATGCTGCTGGAGAGGTAGCTGAGAGTTCTATAACCTGATCCACTGGCAGCAGGAAGAGAATCGAGATGCACTGAGCACACCCCCTAGTGACACACTTTTTCCAACCAAGCCACATTTAGTTCAACAAGTCCATACTTCCTAATAGTGCCACTCACTAGGAGCCTGTAGGGACCATACTGTCCTTTGTGATCTGGGCTACACCACTCAGTGTGATTGTTTCTAGCTCCATACAAAATCAGGACATCTAAAACAATCATGAATAATGAAGGAACTGTTGGAAGTATCGCCATCCTAGATTTTAGATTGCATTGCAGAGCTATAGTAATAAAAACAGAATGGCATTGCCATAAAATAGGCACACTGGTCAATGAAATAGAATTGGAGGTCCATAACGCAATTAAACACACCTACAGATGCCTGGTTTTCTACAAATAAGCCAAAAATACACACTGGAGAAAAGGCAACTTCGTCAACAAATGGTTCTGGTCAAGCTAGATGGGGAAAGTAAAAAAAAAAAAATCAAATAGATCCTTATCTCTCAGACTAAAGAAAACTCAGCTCCACATGAATTAAGAACCTCAATGTAAGGCCTGATACACTGACTCTAGTGGAAGAAAGAGTAGGGAATAGGCTTGAATTCATTGACACAGGAAAGGATTTTGTCAACAGGACCTTAACATCACAGTCACTAGGACCAATAATTAATAAATGAGACCTCACGAAACTAACTGCAAAGCAAGCAGCCAACAGAATGGGGAAATATTTACCAATTATACATCTAACAGTAAATTAGTATCTTAAATGCACAAAAAAAATCTCAAAAATGAACTTCACGAAGAGAAATAACTCAATTTTAAAATGTGGCACAAGACTAAACAGAGAATTCTCAAAAGACTGAATACCACTAACTGAAAAATACTTTTGAAAATGTTCACTATTCTTAGCCATCAGATAAATGCAAATTAAAACCGCTCTGAGATTCCATCTTACCTCAATCAGAACGGCCCAGAACAGTAAAACAGAGAGTAACTTGTGCTGGTGAGGATATGGGGAAAGAGGAATACTTATCTATGGCTGGTGGGAACACAAACTTGTACAGCCACTAGGGAAATGAGGGTGGGGATTCCTCAAAAAAAAAGGTTAAAAATCAATCTATGACAAGGTTCAACTATACAGCTTTCAGGCAAAAGACTCTACATCCTACTACAGAGAGATTTGCTCATCCATGCTCAGTGCTTCTCTGTTCATAATAGGCAAGAAATGGAAACATCCTAGATGTCTGTCACCTGAGAAATGGATAATGGGATGAGGTGCCTTTGCACAACGAAATAGTCATCTGCGAAGGAAAATAGCTTCTTTCCTATCCAGTCAGATTTTTGAGTCTTTGTCTTAAGAAAAGGTGAGTAGTTGCATTATTTAGTTCCTCAGCTTCCACAGAGCTCAGGCTGATTCTATTTTTCTTCCATATCCACTAGGCTCACAATCCAGGCCATGGATACTTTCTCTTTTTGCTTAAAATTACTTCCTAATTCAGGCAGTTCAGAAATACAGTACTGCTTGACTACTGTGATCTCAGCCCTTGGCAGGGGCAGTCAGGAAAATCAGAATCCCAGAGTCAACCTCAACTATATAATAAGTTCAAAGCCAGTCCAGGCTACTTGATTCTCTGTCTGAAATTATTTTTTATTTAATCTCTTTCTAATAAATTCAGCATTAATTTCAATATTAAAAGGATTTTATTAATGCTAATAACTTGATAAAACAAATGTAGATGATTTCATTCTACATTGTATGATAATTTGTGTTATCAAATTTGGATAACACAAGTGTAGATGTATATCAGCCCAATTAACAAATTATCACACTAATGTAGAATGAATTCCATCTATTAGGTAGAAGTAAATTTTCTACAACTACTAATATTTGCTAATCATTTTCCAGGTACATTTAAATTAATTTTCAGATTTTTACAAAGCCAGTCTCTTTTGAAAAGTATAACTATACGTGCCAGAAAGTGGCATAGGTTTTCAAGATGCACTCTTATAAACATATCTTCAGATGCTAGAGAGGGACATTTGTGACATTTTCACAGCATCCCTTGAGCAGCTGCAGCTAGCCTTGACTGCTGCCAAGGTTCCCGACTCCTCCCTGCCTCTTCCTCAGGGGCCTGCAGCACCCACTGGATGGCAGAACTCCATCTTCCCTGCCAGTGCACTGACTCCAACTACAGGGAGTAGCTCCTGAGGGGAAGCTGCAGATCTTACAGAGATGCATCAGGAGGGGAGAAGGAAGCGTTGGCACTTTGAGAGATGGCTAACGTGGCATCCTTCTGTAGAGAAATAAACTTTAAAACTACCGAGCCTAAAGAAAGAACGTGTGAGGAAGATGAAAAGACAGTAATAGAGCTGGAAATTTCTAACAGGTAAGAAATTGGGAAGCGTACTTGTAGGAAATGTTTCTACTCGTGTAAATATGGTTTTCAGATATGCATTTTGTGCTAAGATATTCTAATTTTAGAGTACAAGATCATTAAAAATTGGAATTTTCCTGATTTCAATGTTATCTGTATCATTTGTCTTCTTGTTTTGTGATCTGAAAAAGCAAATGTACAGCTTTAGAATGCACTCTTGTAGGGAAAGTATCAAGTTCCCAGAGCTGCTATTTACACAATGAAGACTTTAATTACTTTTGTTTATCTGTTAGTAAACGTTAAATGCCAGTAAACTTATTTTCCTTGGCAAACCTAAGCCTAAGTTCTGTGACACATATGATGTGGTGCTGTTTTAAGAACTGAAGATCATAATAGTCCTAAAACAGAAAGTAAAGCCAATCAAACAGCGTGTGCTGGCTTTATCTGAAGAGCAGCTCTGTGTGATCAAATGTGTGTTTCCTTCTAACACCTGACATGAGCTGAGACACTTGTCAAGTTCTAAAGAAAAAAAGATATAAACTATTTCCAGCAGAAAAAAAATAATGAAGTGTGTGTAATAAATGAATACATTGGTCAAATGCAGGTTTCAAATTATAAAATGTAACACACTTCTACAGAAGGTAAATATAAAATTGAGCTTTTAATGGGCAGATAATTGAACAGAATAAAAGGAGTTGCATAACGTTCTGAATGATCAGGACAACTGCACTTTTTAATAAGACCATGAGAGAGTCCGACTTGTTTCTTGATGCTAATTGTGGGTACTCACTGTCGATCTGCATTCTTAGGGAGGTATAGGTTCTAGTTCCAGTTCTCTTCATGGAAAAAAATTGTGTGACTAATTTTTGAAACAAATTAAATGACTGAATACACAAAAATATATATTGGTAACAGTTTTGAATACACAATTCTAGTTGATCATGAACAAGTCAGTGGGTCCTGGTTTCCATGTTTGTCAGTCAAAATAGAAATGTCGTTTCTATTGAAGCACAAGACTGCATATTGATCAGGTTAAGACAGCCTATTTTTCAGCACATGTATGCTTGGTGAATGAACAAAAGAGTGTGCAGTACTTTGAAAATCATTAATTCTCTAACCACTGAGGATCCTATTTGTATTAACACAACCATAGAATTTGTGCTTTTAGAACTTAAGGGGGTAAAGTGAGTTCAGGAGTGAGTGAGTGAGTGTGTGTGTGTGTGTGTGTGTGTGTGTGTGTGTAACAGAATGCTCTTGACCTGTTTTGAACAACTAATAGTAAAAATGTAGAACTGTAAAAGAAATGTATAGCATGAAGCAACAGAAAATACTGGCAAGAACATGGAACTCTGGCAGCCAGGAGATTTGAGCTATGGTCACGGTAGCATCTGCCAGATGAGAGGATTGCAGAAGAATCACTTTCAAGTAAAGAGTTTAGAGTTTTGTCCAAGCCAAAAATATGGTTCTAAATAATTTAAAATATGCTTTTTTGCTTAACTGTGTTTCATAGTTAAGAAAAGAGGGAGTTAATGACAAGAAAAGAACAGAGTAATCAAAGCAAACACATAAATTCTATGCCCAATTTCTCCTCCCTTCCCTCTCAGAAGAATTGTGTTAATAAAAAAAGAGAGACAAATACACCCTAACAAAAAAGACATCCAGATATGGAAATTTAAATGTTCATGGAGATTTTCACAGAGTAATGCTCTCACTTTCTTCATCTTGAAAATATAAACCCAAATAATACTTTAAAATTAATTTAATGTGAAATTATTGCACCACAAGAAATAAATAAAAGAAGTCAAGGTAGGCACTTCATGAGCAAGATATAATCAAGCCGAAGGTTGGAGAATACCTCTGTTCTGAATTACCCATAGATTTGAGCAAAATGTCACTTGTTCCTCTGAGATCTTGCATCTCTAGCCCCTTTCCAACTAAGCAGTCCAAGATGAACATTCCTAAAATAGAATTGCATCCTAAGAATTTTTTTATGAACTTGAGTTTGGCATTACTTTACTCCCAGATAAGCAGGATTTACACATTTAAACTTTAGAGTTACCAATTATGTACAGGGCCAAGCCCAGGGTGCAATTTGAAGTCCATATTTAGGGATTTCACGACTAATCTTTGAGCTGTGCAGCAGGCGTTGGGCAATATAGCTCCTGCAGTCATCTCTGACTCCCTCCCAGATGAAGCCCATCCAGAGCTTTTTTAACTTTTTGAGTTCAAAGATTCTCTGGGAATTTAAAGTCTTGAAAGCAGTTTTTTTTTCCCTTGAATAATAATCAACATACAAGGGAGTGGGTAGGTTTTACACAACCTTGCACCTGCTATTGTGGGATAATGAGTTCCCCAGTCCACTGTGAAGACATCTGTAAGAAGGGACAAAAATAAAGGCTGCTGTTGTTTACTCCTTTCTCTGTTGTCCACATACGAGGGCCTCTGTAAAGTCTGTGGATTTTCACATTTGTAAAGAGAGAAGCTATTATCAGAGCTGTCTTCACAGGAATCATAAGAAGTGTGTTTTTCCTACAGACAATAATAACTATAGAGAAAAATCACACACACACACACACACACACACACACACACACACACACACGACTTTGATGAGCATGTTTTGCTCCAGCTAATTTCTTGGACCTTTTGAGACTTGGTTTTTCCATAAATTAGAAAGAACTAGAACATTCCCATCCCTTCCCACAAAAGGTGATGCTGTAGATACAAACCATATAGTAGACGTCAGAGCACTCCAGTGTCTGGAGGACAGAGGCCAGATGGGTTCTGCCCAGGTCACTGACACAGGCAGCAATACAATAATGAGCGTGTTTCACAGTTTATGGAATGTCTTCAAGGCATCACTTCATTGACCCTCATGCAAAGATGTGAAATGAAGAGGCCATTTTTTATTTTAATTTGACTGATGACGAAATTCAGCCCTAGGGGAGTGGCAGCTAGCTAGCATCAGATATGTCCTCTTTGAGGAACTACATGCTAGCACACCAGACTGAATGTGTAGTTACTGCCCATCTCCCTTTCATTCCTTTTCCCCTCCAAGTGAATTTTGCTTGGTGGGAAGCCTCTAATTAGCAATCAAAGCCTTCCATTTCTCACCTATAGTTCAAGTCTATCAACAGATGTGAAGAGTTTAAACATGGTTTGAAATTGCCCTTCAGTCAATGTCTGTTAACTTCAGGTCTGCAGAAACCCTGAATCGTCCAAGCCCTAAACCTTTCTTAATGTTTTTAAACATTGCTATTTCTCCTGTCACCACATCATCGACAAGTCCCTTGAGGCTTTCTTTACAAAGTACGCTGTGTTTATCAGTGGCTCCTATTCATCTCTGGTATTTTTACGGTGTTTATTGTACAGACGAAAGTATTCTTGAGGTGCTTTCTTTCCAGTAACAATCTTCTAAGCCTTTGAACTCGGGGAAGAGCAGGCCAAAGTAATTTCACACCGCAAAGAAAAGTTCATTTCCTCCCATCCTTAGTGTTCAGTTTCCCTGATCAATTTTATTTATGTTTCTTTTCCCCAGATTCCTAAAGAATAAACCAGTATGAGGAGGTTTTCCATCCCTCCCCTCTACCCTCCTTCCATGTTTCCTCTTTGGAACAGAAATCTCAGTTCTTAGTTTTAGTTTTAAGCGTGTGATATCTCACGATGTGAATAATTCCACTGGATACGACCACTGAGCCGTTGAGCCATGGTTCCTTATCCACTGGACATTAGATGAAATCTGGAGAAAGAAAGAATGGATGGAATGTGTTCTAAACAAAATTAACTATAAGTAGTCGATGTCTATGCATTGAATTCCTTTTCTAATTCTCAAAATCTAAGCAGGGTACCAATCCTAGCTGAGCTTCACAATGTTATTTAATCTTCACACAACTCAGATAGATAGGCATTATTTAGTCCCATTTTTCAGATTGGAATCCGATGTAAATCATATCCAGTAATTCTCCAAGGTATGTCCAATCTGTGGCCTGCTGGCTACAAGAGACTGATGGAAGCTAAGAGAGTGGCATAACACAAAATTATAAACATGCTTTTAAAATTATAAGACTTTTTTCCAGCTTTTTGGAACTTAATCACTTTGTACTCTGGGGCGCATAACGCCCGTCTGGGCTCTATGCTCCGCCATGCAGTTTAGGAACCGGGCAAGGGGCTGGAGATTTAAACACACAAAGACTCACAGACAGAGACACTGGTCATCCTTGATGCCAAAATGCCTCCTTTTTTGTTCCCTGGGGCAGCTTATATAGGGATAGCCATGCCCCAGCCAAACGCACCAGAAACCATTCCCCTGCAATCAGGAACTCCTGAGGGTCTCGTGCTCTGAGCAGCTGTAGGCACTCAGATCAGGGGGAAACGAGGTGTTTACAAGAAATTCAGGATCCGGGGGTTCACAGCTCCCAACAGTTCTCAAGCATGAACTTTGTAGATGACCACGTTGTGTGCCAGTGTCAAAAGTGTGGACACTTCTGCCTGGAACTTGTCCTGCAGTTCCTTTGTGCTGCTGTAGGGGATACCAAAAGTTATATAATTTATAGGCAATAGAAACTTGTTTCTCATCGTTCTGGTCCCTCGTAGGTTCAGGATCAATGTGTCAGCAAGTTCAGGTATGATGACTACCACTGCCGTCCTCCCAGGATGATGCTTTTGTAGAAGGTATAAGTGTTGAGTCCTTACATGTAGAGGGACAGAAGCAGCAAGCTCGTGATAGATGGATGCATTCAGGTGTACATGCACGCATGCACGAGTGCATGGGTGGATGGATTATTTGGAGCAGATGGAACACACAGTTTTGTACATGTTAAGTAAACACTCGACTACGAAGCTGCATCCTTCGCACTCATCCTGTCTTATATGGCTCTAATCCATGATGAGAAAAAAATTTTTGGACTACTTATCTCCTAACAGTTCCACCTCTTAATACTGTTACCATAAATATTGGCTGGCTATGAGTTTTGGAGTGAACACAGCACACTATGACAGATACAAATCCAAACATAGTCTTCTAGGCTCTGCAGTGCAGTACAATCTCTACCTCGAGGATCTGCACAATCTTTTAGATGAAAAGGGTGTACATTCATGTGATCCTGAAAAAATAAGACAAGGTGAAGGGAATGGAAATGTATATATATATATGTGTGTGTGTGTGTGTGTGTGTGTGTGTGTGTGTGTGTGTATGCACTGCCTTACATAGTTACCCGGATGTTGTCATATTCTTGACTTACTGCAGCAGGAGGAAGGCTGCTTGTTTGTCCCAGCTGCCCAGAACCAAATTAATCACAAAGAAACCATATTCATTAAATCACTGATTGGCCCATTAGCTCTAGCTTCTTATTGGCTAATTCTTCCATTTTTAATTTAACCTATCTCTATTAATCTGTGCATCACTATGAGGTCGTGGCCTACCAGCAAAGTTTCAGCACGTCTATCTCTTGCAGCGGCAGGTCCATGGCATCTCTCTCTGACTCCACCCTTCTTCTCCCATCATTCCATTTCTTTTTCCCTGCCTACCTAAGTTCTGCCCTATCAACAGGCCAGAACTTAGATTCATTAATGGTAATGACAGCACACAGAGGAGCCTCCCACATCATCTTACTTCTTACTGATAAGACTAATAAAATAGCATGAAGAGAACATAGCTAAACAGACACCTGCTTAACTCATATCCATAGCCTCAGTAACACTGTCCTGTTAATAGAATTATCTATACTGTTAATGATAGTATCTATATTGCTAAGATTTTGTGAGCTGGAGATGTAGCTCCCTTGATAATGTGCTTGCCTAACATGACTGAGGTATTAAGTTCTAGTCCCACACTACATGTGTGGGAATGGATGCCTGTAATCTGCACGCAGGAGGTAAAGGCAGGGGATCAGAAGTTCAAAGTCATCTTTTCATGCATAGTGAGTTTTAGGAAAGCCTAGGCTACATGGGACTCTTGAAAACAGGAACTTACATTAACATTCTGGGTTCTGTTTGATTTTAGGATCTCAAGAGCATGCTGATGTCATTTTGTTTCTGCCAAACACAGAAAGAGATCAGGAAGATTAAACCCATTGACACTCTTTTGAGAGTTTCAGATCCTGAGTTCCCTCAAGAACTGATGGCCAAACATCCATTGATGATACAAGCAAGCTTAGAAAATCTCTTATTGCAACCCTGACGTAATGGAAGTGCCCCCAAACCAACCAGCACCTAATAAAACTAGTGCCAAGAGCAACAACTCTGCGTTTTTCTACTTCGAGTCCTGTCAACCCCCTTTCCTAGCCATACTCTTGCTGCTCATAGCATATACTGTGGTCCTAATCGTGGGCTTTTTTGGAAACCTGTCTCTTATCATCATCATCTTTAAGAAGCAGAGAGAAGTTCAAAATGTCACCAACGTACTGATCGCCAATCTGTCCCTCTCTGACATCTTAGTGTGTGTCATGTGCATCCCCTTTACGGTCATCTACACTCTGATGGACCACTGGGTGTTCGGGAGCACCATGTGCAAACTCACTTCTTACGTGCAAAGTGTGTCCATCTCTGTGTCCATATTCTCCCTTGTATTGATCGCTATTGAACGATATCAGCTGATTGTGAACCCCCGTGGCTGGAAGCCCAGGGTATTTCATGCCTATTGGGGCATCGTCTTGATTTGGCTCATTTCCCTTTCATTGTCTATTCCCTTATTCCTGTCCTACCACCTCACCAACGAGCCCTTCCACAATCTCTCTCTCCCTGATGATGTCTACAGCCACCGGGTAGCCTGTGTGGAGATCTGGCCTTCCAAACTGAACCAACTCCTCTTTTCCACATCGCTGTTTATGCTCCAGTATTTTGTCCCTCTGGGTTTCATTCTGATCTGCTACCTGAGGATTGTTATCTGCCTCCAAAGAAGAACTAAGAAGGTGGGCAGGTGGAGGGGAAACAAGACCCGCCTCAATGAGAACAAGAGGGTCAATGTGATGTTGATTTCCATTGTAGTGACTTTCGGGGCCTGCTGGCTGCCCTTGAACATCTTCAATGTCATCTTTGACTGGTACCATGAGATGCTGATGAGCTGCCACCACGACCTGGTATTTGTAGTTTGCCACTTGATTGCTATGGTTTCTACGTGCATAAACCCTCTCTTTTATGGCTTTCTCAACAAGAATTTCCAGAAGGACCTAATGCTGCTCCTTCAACACTGTTGGTGCCTTGCACCCCAAGAAAGATACAAAAATATCGCCTTGACCACTGTGCACACGGATGAATCCAAGGGATCATTAAGACTGGCTCGCACAACAGCAGGGGTGTAGAAATCAGGAACCAAAACCAAAGCCTTTCTGAAATGGATGAAGGAAAAGGAACAGCATGGAATAGGGTGTGATGCAGAGGAAGTCAGAGTTAAACACATAACATCTTTAGGCCCAGTTTTAATTCAAGTTAAGCATGTCTATCCCATCCATCCACAGAACACACAAAGATGTAGCCCCGCCCTTTCTTTCTTTTTTTTTTTAACCTAGCCACCATGGCTGTGGAAGGAGTAAAGATGAGGAAGCAGATGGTAAGGACAGTAGAGATGGCTGGGCCCCAATGTTCCTGCTATTCACTGGACTAGCCAGAAAGGTGTCTGCTGTGCCACGGTCAGGAAAAACCCTTGCTGTGCCTCCTTCCCATCAGAGCAGTTCCACTTCTAGATGGAGCTGGACCTTCCCATCGCACAGCTATTCAATTAATTGGATAAGTGTGAAAATACAGTATGACAATTTACTAGTTAATTATATCTGGATTAAAGTTGAAAATGTGTCTTAATATTAGGACTGAACATTGTGGCCATAATTAATTTCCCTGTCTGAATCAGATCCTTAACTTGTGATAACGCTGCATTTCTCTTTGCCACCAATGCTATTAAGACTAGGAAAACTAATCACTGATTAATTAGCGCTCCAGTTTTGCCAGGTATCATTTTCAACTAATGAATGACCTGTATCGATAGAGATTTCATTACAAAAATGGCCTTTTATCCTAATGTCTTTGTGTATATTAAATATGAGTCATCATAACTTTATAAAGGGAGATTTTAACAGCAGCAATGATATAATTAGCTACAGCATTTCAAAAAATTATCATCTCATTACTTAAACATTATGAAAGGATCCACATTGTATAGGAGCATCATCAAGATTTAAACAAGATAAGTGACCTATTGTTTCAACAGCTGTTAGCTCAGAGACTTTGACTAAATCACAGAAGCTTTGCTCTTTCCTTAGTTAGACCTTCCTGATACTTATTACATTTGAACTGCAGCCCATTTGTACTATAAATAAATGTAAATTGTTTTATTTTAAATAAATATTCTCTTTGGGGGGTTTGCTTTGTTTTTGGTTTTTTGCTTTTGTTTTTGGTTGTTTTGTTGTTGTTATTGTCATTGTTTTCTTGTTTTTTTTTTTTTCGAGACAGAGTTTCTCTGTAGCTTTGGAGCCTGTCCTGGAACTACTCTTCTAGACCAGGATGGTCTTGAACTCACAAAGATCCTCCTGCCTCTGCTTCCCAAGTGCTGGGATTAAAGGCGTGTGCCACCACCACCTGGCTTGAGTAAACATTCTCTTAACACCTGTGATTATTTTTTCCAGTTTTTTGGGAACTACCCCTGCTTTGCCCCTTTCTCCTTCCTTCCATCATTTTCCTATTATCAGAATTTCTTTTCTCTGCCATTTGAGGATAAATGAACCACAAAAACACCCAAGTGAGCTAAACAATGAGTCTCCCTCCTTACCCATTGTTTGTCCCAGTTTGTCTATATTTTCTTATAGAGGAAGTTCTGCAATCAATATTCAATGCAATCACTCCCTTACTTAGTAAAGAAATACCGGCCCTAGTTTTATTGCTAAAACAACACTGCTTAAATTGCTAAAAGTCGGGGAAGCACTAAACAAACACTAATATGGCTCCCTTTCTGACCCACACTCTTACACCGTCTCCTCTACCGAACTCATCCTGGTTCCACACTAAGAGTGGCTTTCTTCTATTCTGCTTCTTTTACTTGTTTTTTAAAACGCTTCTTAAGCTCATAAAACAGAAGTGACTAACTCTGTAACAGGATGATTGTCCTGTGTTTGTTTTTTAATTTTGAAAGGTAAGTGAAGGAAAAGAAACTTGGAGAGACAAGATCTTACCCCGCAACCAAGCTGTCCTCTAAGGGCAACAGACCTGCCTCCGTCCTATCCTGAGCCACCACATCAAACTCTACCGTTTTTTCAAAGCTGAGGGTTTGACTGGGGAAACCTTGGTTCACTCAAGCTCTAGCAATAAAGAAGAGAAGGTAAGTGCTCCTTGTGAGGTGAAGAAGGCCTCTTTCCCTCCATTTATGTGCCCAGATCAAACTCGTAGTTGAGGTTGAGATGTTTCTCCTGAGAGAGGAGAGGCATGGAGTAGTGGCAGGGCCTCTTGAAACTGGGGGTTGACAAGTCCCCGTTTTTCTCCATGTCGTGTAGCTGAGTCTGTTCTTTGGGGCTTGCCTATCAACTTTGGAGACCTTGCCCTACATATTTATTTTTTTTCTATACCAGCTTCTCATCACCCCCACCCATGGATGTCCTAGAAATAGGCAAAGAAAAAGTGCTTTGTAAACTGAAAAAGATTTTTTTCAAAATAATAATAAATCCCCTTTTATGATTACACTTATAAATACATAAATATATGAGTGTGTTTATGCGTGCATGTATGTGCATGCCTGTGTATGTGTGTTCCTTGAATCAGGCATGTATATCTTACTCACTTTGGTGTCTCCAACACCAACTATAGTGGCATCCGCCACAAAGTGTTCAGCAAATAAACATAGACTACAGATATAGAATAACAGGGAATAACAAGCCTTTGCTTGAAAGTGGTGTGTGGGCCTGAATATAAAGGAGGATCTACACCTCCCTAGACTCTGTGTCAGAGGAAGTAGATGCCAAACAGCTACTGAGGCATCAGCACTCATGAAACCTCCGATGACACAAGAACAAAAACACATCTTGATCATAGAAAGATTAAAGAAGAAGGTGCACATTTATGTCTATCTTAGTCACTACCCTATTACTTTTTCATTCTGATATTTCTTTCCTTCTTTTTTTCCATTCCCTATCTAACTTCTCCACACAGCATAGTTTTGTTGAAAATACATTCATCCATGTTGTATCCTGTACCAGAAGCTCAATCATTTTTATTCTTGAATATGCCATACATCTGCAGTCCATTTACCTGTTGGTGGACATCAGTTTGTATATGATTTGGGGTCATTACATACAAAGTTGCTATGAATACACATAGATATATTCATACATAGCTATATTATTTGATTTCTGTTAGGTGAATACTCAGAAGGGGAATGGGTGGGTCTTAGACTGATGATCTCTGTGCATCTAGTGTTTTTGTTTTGTTTTGTTTTGTTTTTGCCTTAGATGAGCCACAGCTTACAGACAAATATCACTTAATTCCCAAAACATTCTATTGTGGACAAAAAATGCCAAAAGCTAATACAAAGTAGGCTTTCATGTCATGGAGGGCTCTAGTTAAAGCAATTTCATATTCATCTTCATAAAACTCTATGACACCACACCTTTTATTTACTATTACTTTTATTATACAGACAGTATAACTGAGGTCCAGAAAGGTTAGCTACCTTGTCAGAGATTTCTAAATAAAAGATAGATTTTGTGATCATCATTATATAGATCAGATCATGAAAACTGAATAGCAGGAAGTAAATGGGGCTGACTCTAAGCCAGCGTCTGTTGGTTTCTCTAGTTCACATTCTCTTATTTGACTCCCATTCCATCTTAGCAAGCATTGCCAGTAGCATATGTTCACAGTTGCTTCCTTTATGTTTGCCCCCTTTTGTATTCTGATAATGGTTATATCTGAACAGGTGCTTCCTAGGGGAATGCCATGGGGAGGGAGAGCCAAATGCAGACCCCTGGGGTTCTGAAGGAGCGCACCCTTTCCTGGGGCAGCTACAGTCATCTTCTCACTGAACTAGCCTAACCATTCTGAAATTGCCTTTCAGACATGTAGTGGTACCTCACCTAGGTTCTAACCACAGCCCTTCAGGTCTTTCCAGTGGTTACTACAGACTTCTGTTTTCCTGTAGCTCACAACATATTCAAAATTCTCTCCCCTGGAAGAATCAGAAGTGATTGAACACACCCTCTTCCAAACCACCTTGAAAACGTAATTCAAATGGGAAGTTCCTCAAGGAAGAAATTTGATTAAAAATCTTAGATTAGTTAGTTCACTAGTTTGTTTACTTAAAAATAAATAGCGACCAGTGAGCACTAGGACATGGAGGTGCAGCGTCAGCCTTCAGTGTGGAATGTGCTGGCATGCTTTAATGAAGGCATAAAATGATTACTTCATTCTGGGCAAATTATTTCCTTTCTTTGTATATATTAATAGGAGAGAAAGGCCTTTGAGTCTAGATCGAGGATGGTTAAGGCATCTACAACTCTTTTCCAATGTCTTCCCTACTCTAACAACCACCAAAGACAAGAGCAAAGATGGAACTCTGCTGCCACCTTGTGACAGAATTGAGAGGCACTGAAAGAATTGCCTTGACTGACAGTCTACAGGAAATCAAACTCTTCCTTCCACGCTTCTGTAAGGCTCCATAATTCATAGCGCACTTTTATTACATTTTTTCATTTCACTCCCCGACCAATTCTGTGTGGTGGCAGGGCCAGTGGTACAGTTCCCATCTTCTGTAGAAGAAATCAAAGCTCAGAGAAACAACTGTGAACCAAAGTTCTCTAAAAAATAACTGTACTTTCCACTGAAACTTCTGAAAGGCTGATTAGTTAATCAAAACCTCTGTGACTGTGGAGAGTTGGGAATGGTTTAAGTCCAGAGTCAAATTAGCTTGGATCATTTCAAGCCCTGTTAATACCAGTTATCGCCCTCCTTTGTGTATAAACTAACATCTTTGTGACTATTAGGTAAAGCCTTTGAAATGTGCAAACAGAAACCTAGCCTCCACAAACCACATAGCTAAGAGTGTCACCAGGGAGCATCCAAGGCCAATAGCAAAGACTTCCTGCTTTTCTTTAATCTGCTATGTGAGTTTTGGTTTCTATTGCTGCAATAAAACACCATGACCAAATTAATTTGGGGAGGAAGGGTTAATTTGAGCTTAAACTTCCACATAATGGTCTATGATCATCAAAAGAGGCCAAATACATTGTTATCTTGATTGTGGTGACTATTTAACAATGTCCATGAATACCAAACCATCAGGTTGTAGACCATAAAAACAATAGATACTTTTTTTAAAAAAAAAAAAGTCCTTTGATTAAGCAAAACACAAATTTTAAACACATGTTAAATGTAAGTTAGGTGCTTGGTGGTTTAGAAGAGTAGTAAGAGTCCTTCTGGTTTGGTGGTTAGGGCTTCGGTCTTGGAAGTGGATAAGGACGATCCCCTGAACATTCTGCACATAAATCCCTTCTCAAGCCAAGCCTTTTCAGACCTGCCTCCATTTCCATCTTGATCTCACCCTATCACACTGAGAACATGAGTTATATATTTTTTGGTTATTTAGGGAATGAGAGTACAGGCCTTGAATATGTAGTCCTTGTTCCTAATCCAAGCTCTTCCATTTTAGAGAATATGGAAAAGTTATGGACGCACATTCCCCCAGCCTCAGATCCTAGATCTATAAAGTAGGCAGCATAAAGCTACTCATTTAGGACCCATGAGGCTTCTAAGTGGTTACAGGTGATTGTTGCCAAACCTAAAGACCTAAGCTCAATCCCCAAGACCCAACTCTCATGAGTTGTTCTGTAGCCACATGAATAAAGCATAGCAAAAAAAAAAAAAAAAACTTTGAGGCACTCATATCAAAAAGTTTGTGCTTATGTGTGAATCAAGTAAAATAGGATACACAGAGTTATGTGCCCATCTAAAGATACCAAAGATGATTAAACAACACCTTATCTTGTTAGCCCTGTGTCTTTGATCATTCTCCAATTGCCTGCCATCTCCTTCACCTTCTCACTGTTCCACTCCTAAATTTCTATCTCACCTCCTGCAAAGCCCCTCACTAAGCATCTTCTCTTCTGATCACATCTCGTATGCTACCCTGTATGGTAGCAACTTGTATTTCTCTGTCAGTCTCTTTCTGGTCTGCGGTACTGTAGGAGGCAAGAGATTTCTCGTTCTACCCTAGTACTAAGCACAAGATGACTCAAGGCACCAATAGAGAAGTGGTTGTTGAAAGAATAATATTGTAATTGGACATTGGGGAAATAAATAAGAATCACAAC